TAAAGGTTCAGGTTGAAATCACTGTCATGGATGAAAATACATATTGTGAAATCATTGCTGTAATCCATATTATATCCATATTGGCACTACAGAGCAAACAAAATGTACAGAAAAATTTCCTTCAATTACTCTTTGTGCTGACCATGAGTGACCTTATTTTTTTTAAAAAGACAAATGATACTGTAGTGAACAGTAAGAAAATGCATGGAATTACAAGCTCAGTCCTGTGTGGAGGTGGCTCTGTCATTCTCCATATCGCCTCTCTGGTCTTGTCCATCCAAATCAATATCATTCTCTCTTCATTTTTTCCTGTCATTGTACTCTCTGATTGATTAGAGGCTGCTACAAGCCAATTAGCATTACTTTGACATCCTCGTGAGGCCACAATGAGAAGATGGCCTCCAAGATTATCTTTTGATCCAATGTTTTATCTTGTAAGAAATGGATAGAAAAATACAAAAAAGTAGAGAACAGTAATTCTCCATAGAAGTTGTAAGCTCACCTTAGGGATCTTGACACAATTGAAGGGAGCTGGAAACTGAAAAGTGGAGCCTCAAGTACAGTTTTAGTAAGATTTGAAAAGCAATGGCAGGCATTTTCCTTAACATTTAGTGTGGATTCAATATTGTAGCCTCCTTGACACAATCTATAAACACAATAGATATCACAAGAAAAGATGACTTCCAACTGTTGTTATCTAATTTGAAGCCCAATATAATAAAACTTGATGAAAATCACTAAGCACTGAAACCCCGAAGAGCTTTTAAGACACTCATGGCTAAGAAAAGAAAAAAAAATTAAGAATGACTGTTCTTGAGCTTGTTACTTTATTTACCTGAAATATTGAAATATAGGTTATCTTGTTCTATTTACCTCCTGCATAAAAGGAAGGAACCCTAAAAATATGTTAGGGTGTAGGATGTGTGTAAACATTTCCTGCATTTCACACACACTCTATATATAGGGAGAGAAAGAAAGAGAGTATTCAGCACCTAAAAAAGGGAGACATACTGGGAAATTTTGCACACACTTAAAAACTTTATGGATATCTATTTGCCCTTGAATGAACTGGTTACCAAAACTATTAATTTTTGAAACCTGCCGTTTGAAAAATTTGTAATATTGCTTCATGTTAATTTTGATAAAGGAAAAAGGGATTGTTTAACAGTTTAAAAAATAAAAAAAGATCGTTTGAAGTAAAAAAGAAAAAATCTAAATAAATAAATAATAAAACAGTAATCCAATTTATTTACATTGATGGTTTTTAAACCCGTTTCTTCTTCTGGATTTACACATTTCATCCTCTTTACCCTTCATTGAACAAATTTCTGTTTACTTTTTCTCTCTTTCACTCAAGTTGCTTTTCGTCTTACAACACCACTTATCAACCTCTTTCTTTCTCACCTTTATTTGTCTCTATTTTCTTTTATTTTTCTTCTAGTGTTATTTACCTTTTCTATTCATGTTCTCTTCTCATTTTTTCTTCTTCTTTTCGTATTACTTGTTCTTTTTACCTATAGTTTCTCCTTTTGCATTTCTTTCTTCATTATTGTTTAGCTTCTTCATATATTTATACCAACATCTTTCTACATTTTCTTCCATTGTTGTTATTCTTATTCTCCACCTAACAAATTTAAATATACTAAAAAATTTTTCTTACATTTTATCTTTTCATTTCATTGTTTTACTTTTTCCTTCATTCAAATTTATTTTCATTCATTTCTGCTGTGTTTAATCCCACTTTCATCATATATTCAATCTTATTCTTTTTCTTCTTCAATCAAAATTTTCTTCAAAATTTACTTCTTTTTCTTTCTCTGCATTCATGTCAAAAACTCAATTTTCTCAGCAGCAAGAACTGTACAGAATTCTTAAAGAATTAATTTCACAAGTAACAAATTCTGTTCATTTTTTTTAATTTGTTTTTGCTGTGTCTGCAAAATTCATCCAATTTTAGAGCCAGTTGAATGAAAAAAAATTATATAAATATTAAAAAATAAATATATTGATTGAAATTCTTCTCTAAGGAAATGTTTACACACTTAAGGATTTTCCTATGTGCATATTTTGGGAGACTCTTTAATAACTGGAATTTTACTTATAATCAAAGAATATATCTATGTATATGCATGCAGATAATTAGAAAAACATGTATGTATAAGTATTAATATGTAAATATCAGTGTGGATATGCATACAAATGTCTGGATACTCATTCTGAATGTGAAAAATATTTTAAAAATGTTCATTTTTATGGTTGGATTTTTCAAAAATATTAAAACTGATAACTGATTTTGAATACTGAAAAGTGGCTGTTTCAATTCTTAGTTTAAAACAAGGGTTTTTACAATTGTATATTTTGAAAAAAATATTTGTGTTATTTAGAATAATGCACTATTTTAAAATCATAAATCATACTTTTTCACATATATACACACAACATTTATTTATATATATATATATATATATATATATATATATATATATATATGGATTAAAATTTCAACAGAATGGTAAATATATTAAACAATTTTGAAAGCTTCTGCTTTGACAGGTTCCATGAACCAACGCTATTAACCCCTAGGTTATTGTCCTATTCAGGATTGAAATATCATGAAATTTTAAATATTCTGAACTTTAATATATGAATGTCTGTTTTTAAATAAAATCTCCAGTGTCAGAGAGATAACTTTCATAAAAAAATAGTTTTAGGGAAAAAAAAAAGAATGACATGTCAAATATATTTATATTTGACATGTCATTCTTTTTTTTTTCCCTAAAACTATTATTGCTATTATAAAATGTTAATACTTGTGTAAGAGTAATCTCATAAAGTATTAATAATAATAAATCAACTTTTATGTGTTATGTCCTTTCAGGACATATGTGTTTATGGCTCTCCACAACTTCCTATTTTTGTTGCTTGAAGTAGCTCTTTTATAACAATTCTGGTTAACAACCCCAAATTTAAATCCGTTCAGAATAAGGAAATCACATCTATAAAATGCAATGTGTATCCACACACACACACATATATATATATATATATATATATATATATATATATATGGGGTGGGGTAACACTTTTCACATAGATACTATACTCTAATCCTATACAGAAGTGTTAATTCATTTGTAAATAATCCCATTAATCTTGATAGGTACAATGCTTATATGCACATACACCCCACACACACCTACAACTCAATGTTCTATATGACTACTTAATTTTTACTTTAATTAAAGCTTAACTATTGTCTAATCACAGACTAACAAACTCACTTTCAATTAGCCAGTAAACCTTAATTTACTCTGAGCTGCATACTTAATGATCTCCTTGACTAACCTCACTTTTAAGTTGAACTGGTGTCATTACTCACAAAAATAGCTGAACCAATCACTTGAAATATATTTTGCAATTTACCTCAGTATTATAATTTTTTCCAACAGCACATATATTTTGGAGAACACATATTAAAGAAGTGATAAATGAAAGACATATTTACTGCTATGTTAAATTAAACACAATCATTTTTTCTTTTTAAGTGGGATTTTTGGTCATTTAGCTAAATTGATTGCTTGATTATAAAACAAATGTAGTAGATTCCATGAATTAATTCAAGATCCCAGCAGCTTTTCATCAACATCACTAAGTTTGAATTTGAAACAAATATGCATGCATAACTGAGATAGCCTCTTTCTCGTAATACCAGTGCATTGAACACTAATATTTACATTTCATTTTTTTAATTAAATGTCCACCTTGTATAATTTTTTGTCATGATGGCTTCCTGTGGCCAAATTAATAAGGCACGCTTATCTTAAAAGTGGTTTCCCTGTTGGTAAAAAGGAACACAGATTTGATTCCTGTCAAGAGGCATACTTTCTTTAAAATTTTTCAATCTCTAAGCTGGTTGACATTATTTTCACTGTTTATAACAGATTTCTACTGAAACACATGTACTCAATAAATATAACGTTTATTTTATAATATTACAAAATATTGACATATAGATGGGAATTTTCCCATCAATTTTTCAATTCTTCAGTAATGTGAACATTAATATGTACATGAACTGAAATCCAATTTTATGATTTTATTCAAAAACTTACTTAACAGCCATCAAAGGTAGCTGCTAAGCTAATGACATGTCATTTCCTATTTTTAGAATTTGCTATAATTATTTGCAAATGAATAAAGGGAGATTAATCAGTAATTAACCAAATTCCAAGTATATTTAAAATTTAAATTCAGCTTCACTTGTACTTTTAGCAATCCCTAATCAGCAAGAATCTAGTATTAAATGATTTTCAAACTTTTTGATTTAGAAAAATGTTTTTTGTAATAAAGTGTGGAATGATTATGATGGAAGAGAAAAGAAAAAATGAAAAGATTACTAATTGCATAAAATAATGATACCCCTATTACATTAACAGGTCTTATTTTTATAAATATAAAATATATAAAAGAAAGAATTATTTTTTTTACAAAATAGTAATCTTTTCAGTATCCTTCCTCTTTCAATATTTGTATGAATTTCTTTTCAGCTTTTGAAGCAAACAAACAAAAATTGGATCAGTATTAATGGGGTAAGCACAAATGAAGACCCCCAAACTATTAAGTTTCAAATCAGACTAGAATTTGTTTTATACTTCAAATTAGAACATCTTCACAGTATTGCTCTAGCAAAAATCATGCTGCAATGTGCCAATTTTTGCTGTGTAGCAGACACACCCATATACTGAAATCAGATAATTATAATATAGATTATTTTCTTTTTCAAACTCAAAACATACTCCTGAGGGATACACACCATGTTTTCCAGAAGTTTACTTTAATCCTATCAGTTACTTCAGCTACTTTTGCAACTAATGGAAATCGGTCTTTACCTTTCTCTCTTGGGGCACCTGGTATCTGTGCATTACTTATATTGGCCATGTTTGTCCCATGCATGTTCTTTACTTTTCTTCTTCTTGTCACATCTGTGTCTCTCTCAACAGCAGCATCAGCAGCAACAGTAGCCAGAACAGTAGCAGCAGCAGCATGCCTGACGAACTTGCGTCATCGCTCCACCTGGCTAGCAGCTGCAGGTACCTCACTGACCCACCTATCCACCCTCACCTGCACACCTCACCTGACTTGGGGAACCCTCCCACCCCTGTCAATTCTCACCTGTTCTACCTAAACGCTCCGGAGAATGAAAGTTGGTGTACTTCTCCTGATGGATCACCAAGCATAGAGACAGGACAAAAAAGGTAGATTTATCAATAAGGGGGAATAACATTTTCCCTACTCCCTATTCTTGGGGAGGGGCAAATAAATAAATAAATTCAGAAAATGTCTTTATGAAAAAATAAAACAAGAATAAAAATAAGCATTTTTTTAATGAAATATCAATTGATTTCAGTGCTCTTTTATTCAGTTTTTTTTGTTTGCATATTTATTTAATCATTTAATATTACATACAAGGTCGTTAGTAAAGTAATGTCACATTTTTGGAGATGAAATAAATCTGTTCAAATGTAAAAAAAAAAAGATAGATTCATTAGTCCAGAACATAAATTTTCATTATTAACAATGACAAAAGCCCACTATGAAAGTAATTTGTTGAAAGAATTTAGCAAATTTTATTTGCCATAAACTTTTAGAATAATACAAGACAATTACAGCAATTTTTATTTAGTACATGAAGGGGAAAGATTTATGGCCTAAATCTCTAGCTTTGGTCGATCAAAAGAACGTCTGGAGATATTCTGAAGAATTACAATGCAAGTCCATACTTGGTAAAAAAAAAAAAACAAAAGTCAAATTGTGAGTTTCGAATATTTATTTACCAAATCTTTTTAACTGTCTTTGTACTTTAAAAGTTTTATTTACTGATATCATCAAAACACTTTCTTAACAACAGAGCTAGCACCTTGAATCTGTAAAAGAAAGAAAAAAATTACAGCTGCTACTGCAAGAATGAATAAATCTCAAATCAACAAGTCATATCTTGTTGAACATGGACACAAGACTTTTTGCAACTGTCCTTACCAGCAGAGATTTTCAAAGTGACATAGTCAAAGTCTCCTCACCTTCTACATGTAGACCATCCACAAAATTAAAGTAACGATGACTGACGGCATTCACTATTCATTTGTTATATTTATCTCATGTTTCCAAGACATACAAATTAGTCAGTGCAACTATTGTTATTCAAGTTATTCAAATGTGCTAGTAGCACTAACTGTGCTAAGCATTCTCGGTTTCCCTAAATGGTCAATTCATCAAGAAGACGGAATCCATCTGGTGGTAAAAACCATTCAGGCTTAGAGGAGTTAATCAGAAGAAAACAATTCACTCCCACCACACCAGACACACCTTATTCAGTCTTTTGCCTTATTGACATATTTCTTTTCTATAGAAACATTAACCTGTATGCCATGTTGTATGAGAGAACTCTTGGCTTTGGAATAATGATGATTATGTTCTTGACAAATAGACACAGCTTTTGTAAAGTTTGACAGTTTTTTTTTCCATCTTCAAAAATAATACTTTTTGAACAACCAATATAACCATCTTTAAAAGTAAACTTGCTATTTTTTAGAAATTTTAAAAAGTTTTCAAAACCAAAAAATGTATCAACTTTTTTGGTTTTTTTTAGATTTTTAAAATTTAGGTTAAATATATAACAAAAAAATACTTGTTAGTTGATTTAATTCTTTTTTTTTGTTGTTGTTGTTATCCCAACATTTCAACTGATCCATTTTGTGGTTTTCCTCAGATCTATAATCCATAGAAAGAAAATTTTTTGGTAATGAAACCAGGAAATGATAGCAAACAAAATGCACTATTGAAATCCCCATCTCTTTACATACAGATTGTACAGCTGAGGAGAGCTGTAAGATGGATTAACTAAAATGTTAAGTTAACAATAAAAGCTATAATATGCTTAAAATGAGAATAACCTTTCTCAGAAGGTAACTTTTTGGTTGCTTTTCAAGATTGTCACTGATGTATTATTATGATCATATTAGGACCTTAAATAAGTTCTCACTGTATTCCAACAGATGACATTCCCAGAATTGCATGCCTGTAATTTCAGATGGTAATGCATCTATAAGGAAGTACTATAAACAAGCTTGAAATTCAATGTATGTCATTTTGCCAAAGTGATTTTGTGGTAAAAAAAAAAAAAAGTGTATTTGCAGGGGATTTTACTGCACTACTTTATTCAAAAGAATTCTGCAGCTGAAACACACAGAATTCTTGTTAAGACTTACGGTGACCATGCTCTATTGGAAACAACATGCAGAAATTGGTTTAGAAGCTTCAAATATAATGATTTTGATGTTGAAGATAAAGAACACCCTAGTACACCGAAAAAGTTTGAAGACGAAAAATTGGAGGCATTACTTTGTGGAAACTCACGTCAGACACAAGCTGAACTTGCAGAATCATTAGGAGTTGATCACACAACAGTTTCAAAACATTTGAAAGCATTAGGAAATATTCAAAAGCAATGACATTGGGTGCCATACAAGTTGAAACCACGTCCAACGGCATCTTGTCACGTGTGAACAGCTGCTTCAACAGCAGAAAAGGAAAGGTTTTTTGCATCATATTGTGACCAGTGAGGAAAAGTGGATACACTACGATAATCCTAAACGTAGAAGATCATTGAGTAAACCCGGCCATGCATCAACATCACTGGCAAAGCCAAATATCCATGGTTCAAAACTTCTGCTCTGCATTTGGTGGGATCAGCAGGGTATAGTTTATTATGATCTGCTCAAATCAACTGAAACCATCATGGGAAATTGCTATTGACTACAATTGATGTATTTGAGCTGAGCATTGAAGAAAAAATGGCCACTATACAAGCAGATACACAATAAAGTGATTTTTGCAACATGACAAAACTAGGCCACACGTTGCAAAACAGGTGAAAACCTACTTGGAAAAGCTTAAACAGGAAGTCCTATCCCACCTGCCATATTCACCAGACATTACCACATCACTTGTTCCAATTGATGGCACATGGCCTGGCTGAGCACAACTTTAATTCTTATGAAGATGCCAAAAACTCAGTTGACTCGTGGTTAGCCTCAAAATACTTGTCATTTTTTTTTTTTTTTACATGGAATTCAAATGCTGCCAGAATGATGGGAAAAAGTAGTGACTAGTGATGGACAATACTTTCAGTGACATGTTTCTTACTAATTTTTGTAAATAATACATTACTTTTCATGAAAAATCAGCAATAACTTATTCAAGGTCCTAACATATATATATATATGTGTGTGTGCGCGCAACTTTTTTTAAGCTGAATTTATAGTTAAAATTGTATATTTTTGGAGTTTAGAAAGATTTTCAGAAATAAGTAAATAATTTAATTTTGTGTGTATGTATTTCTTATTTAATAAGAAAATAATTAAGGTTTTGGGATCAGATCAAGCAGGCAACCTTCAATTTCATATTTATTTGAATACATATATATGTATGTTTGTAAAACATTTATATAAATGTTACATGATATATTTAAAACTGTTGAATTATGTATGCTGCATGTTTGCATGAATGCCTGCCTATTTTTTTGTTGTTTTCTTTTATTTTGCATGCTCTTTGCTTGTCAATAAAAATTGTGATTTGATTTTTGATCAATTGCTGTTGTCTTTGTTGTCATGCTCATCTTCATTGATACTTATTAATCACTAACTTTTTTTTATCTCATCTAAGGATCATTTTTCATGGATTCCAGTTGGAAAAAAAATGCATCTGTTTTTAGTTTTTGCATTTTTCTCTCTTTATTTCAATGCTAATTATCAATCATCAATAGATATATTTTTTATAAAGTTTATAAATTTATAGGATTTGTGGTTGGGTGAATGATTGACAGCTGGAATTTGAATTTGGTTTACTGAGTCAGTCTGTATTCACTTCACACTGATAAGGCATGAATCCATCTCATCTCTCCCACCCACCAGCTATAGGTAAAATAACTAGGCAGACTGGTCTCACTAGCTTTGACTGGCAACCAGTCTAGAAGAACATGTCTGAATTCAAAAGCAAGAGTGAAAAATATTCTTCCCTGCAAGCTATTTGTAAAAATATCAAAAAGCTGGGGTGGGACTTGCAAATTAGAAAATTGTATCAGCTTTGCAAGCTGAAGGACCTGTTGGATCTAGAATATAAATTTATCTATAAAGCTTCCTCATTGTCTTGTATGATCTGTTTGAAAACAAACAATAATTTTAAAATTGAACATTTAAAAAAATGTGAAAGTAAACAAAATTTTATAATTTAAATATGAGGAACATTAACAGGAAAATAGTACAACCTTACATTTAATAAGCTGACTTTTCAAGCTTTATATTGTTAAAATGGTTTTGTTGAAACTCACATGCCTACTATTCAGCCACATCTTATGCAAATTGAAATATCAAATTCAATAAAGCAACAAATGCACAGATTGATTTTACTAAATATAAAATTACTTTATCCTGTAGTTAGAAAAAAGATTAACAAAATATCAAAGTGTTGTGGAGAATACTTTTGTGCTACATACACACACGTAGTTAAAATATTGATAAGTTTTTCTTTGTACACATAGATTAATGAATTATATACATTTCTAGAGGTAACAATTCTGCATTTTATAAACTTTGTAAACTTAGATATTAAAAATTAATTATTTTTAGATTATTACAGCCCGTTTCTTGAACAATAAATTGGGTTGCCTTTTCATAAAACATCTTTTCCATTTTTCAGTTTTCTCCCTTTGTTAAGTCCTGAAAATTTCATTCGTTTTGCTGAAATTCATTGATTTTTTTGTGATTTTTTTTTTTTAAATTCATTCAATTTTTTAAGATTTTTTCAAGCTTTGTGCTGTATTTTCTTTATTGAATTTTGTTTTTGCTTTTTTATGCTCTGCACTGAACAATTTTGGGTGAAATATCTTCACTAAATTTATCAGTTCTTGTGATTGTCTTACCAATGATCTGTTTCAGCACACAGCTTCTTTTATTTATTTATTTATTTATTTAACTTTTAATCATTTTTAATGCCTAAACTATCAGCATATTTGATGTAATCTTTATTATTGCTTATTGCTACTTTCTGTGTTTCTGGAAATATATTCAAATTTTATTTATATCAAGTGTATAAGCCCATTTTTTTTTCCCATTCATCCTGTTATCATTCTACTGATCAGTTCTCCAGTCATCCTCCAGTGACATATTTCTGATTTACTTAAATATTTATCCCTTAGAAA